AGCGTGAAAGTACCAGATATTATTTCACTTTTATACATGCACACCGGTTATTCATTCGTGTCCAAAGTATGTTTTAATGAAAAAAAAAGTTGATATGTAAATAAAGAAAATGGTTCCTTGTAATTTCAAAGAAGGTTGAAGGCCAAGTTTTCTTTTTATCCTTAGGGTTCTGAATTTTTGCGAGCTTGCAGTCCTTAAACTCTTTATAAATACAATACAAAGTAGTTTATAATTAGGAAAATAGAAGAAAGAAATGAGAAGAGTTAGAATTACCAAGTCAAACTAAATCATCAGGATTAGGTTAAGTGACACAAGACCTAATACCAATATCATCAGGATTAAGTCAAGTCACGCAGGTATGGCTGAATGAATCCATGATATAAGCTTTTCACCTACATTCAGAATGACTTAAAATTATAAAATTAAGCAATGCCTATTGAATCTTAGAGCACTTCCACCCCAAAGGGCAAGGGTAAGGGTAAGGGTAAGGCAAAGGTAAGGCAAGGTTTGTCACTATTCATATGAATAGTGGAAGCCCTTGCCTTCTTTGTTTCCACCCCTAAGAGCAGTTCCAGCAGTTGCCCCTTGCCATGGCAGAGGGGGGGTAAGGCAGCCACTATTCACATGAATAGTGGCTGCCCTTGCAAAAACCAATGTTGGTTTCCAGCAGTTGCCATGGCAAAGGGCAAATACTATTCATTTTTTTGTTTTTTGTTTTTTTTTCACAAATTTGTTTACCTAAATAATTAATTTGGACAATATTTTCGGATAAAATTTTTGGGTTTCTACGTGTCAATACTATTCATATCTAATAATCGGATAAAATTTTTGGTTTCAAATTTCAGATAATTAGTAGGTATTTATAGAAAAAATTTCTAGTGTTTTTTGGTATTTATTTTATTTTTAATTCGGATTTTTTTTTCTTCATATTTTAATTGCAAAAATATTGGCTGCTGTTGGATTGGAGCAGAAAATCACGATTGGAGTGCCCAGACGACGCCACGTGTCCTAGAGTCGTTGGCGCAGCCAGGGCTAACGTTGTGATGCAGTGGAACAAATACAAAAGATAATTGTGAGCACACTTAACTCTGTTGATTCTAAGCGAAAAATCTCAATCTTCATTCAATAACAAAACATCAATTCCCCTTTCTTACAATTTCATGCATTATTTATAGGTGCCTCTCAATCAAGATGAGATAACTCCTCATAACTCCTCATAACTCTCCTAAACCTTTCATATCCCAACTTCCCTCCTAGTGATAACTTCACATTAAATCTCCCTATAACTCACAAAGATGAAAAGACTCTCTATAACTTCATTCATGAACCTAGATAACTCCTACGTACGAAGAGACACTTATTTAATATAGGTTATTAAGACTTTCCTCATGCTTGAATGTGATCCCAATGGTCCATGTATGTGTTTACTAAACTCGCTGCATCATCCTCCCCGGGTTGGCAAAAATTCGCCCTCGAATTTATGCCTTCTCGGATTAAAATCATGATCATTGATTGTTGGTCTTCAAACTGAAATCTCCCACTCCAAAGAAATAAATATTTTGAATATTTGAATATTCTCCAATTGTGTGAATTCTCCATGGCCAATCTCTTAACCCAGATATTCTGAATTATGGTATCAACCAAAGTGGCTGCACTACGATGACTGAAATTTTCAACCCTCATGAAATCAATATATTCAACAACTTCGAAAGTATCATGAGAGTTGAATAAAGCAATGGAATCATCGACATTTGCAATATGAAGGTTGACATAATTTTTCACAACTTCTTCAATGCATTCCATTTGTTTCGGTTTCGTGTCAAAAACCTTCTCAACTGTAAAATAATAATCACAACAAATTTCGCAAGAACCATCTGAACATCGATCAAATACTGGAGGGAGATCCAAATCGAATAAATGATCAAATGTATGATCGCCACTAACCATTTCTGATAACAGTTGATGTAGATTTGACTAACTACACAACTGGCGTGTAGTTCCTTCCCAGGATTTCAGTTTTGCAATTGAATCCTGCTCTGATACCAACTGATGCAGCGGAACAAATACAAAAGATAATTGTGAGCACACTTAACTCCGTTGATTCTAAGAATACCCGGAATTAAAACTCTAATATGTTAATTCTGAGAATAACCAGGAAAAGAGTAAAGAGATGAGAGAAAAATCTCAATCTTCATTCAATAACAAAACATCAATTCCCCTTTCTTACAATTTCATTCATTATTTATAGGTGCCTCTCAATCAAGATGAGATAACTCCTCATAACTCTCCTAAACCTTTCATATCCCAACTTCCCTCCTAGTGATAACTTCACATTAAATCTCCCTATAACTCACAAAGATGAAAAGACTCTCTATAACTTCATTCATGAACCTAGATAACTCCTACGTACGAAGAGACACTTATTTAATATAGGTTATTAAGACTTTCCTCATGCTTGAATGTGATTCCAATGGTCCATGTATGTGTTTGCTAAACTCGCTGCATCACGTTGGCGATGATGTCAGCGCGCCCTCGTTTTGGAACTGGGGCTCAACTTGCCCTCGGGCCAGCCCAGGTCGCTGGGTCCCGCCTCCTGCCCGGGCTTCATTTTGTTGCTGGGAAATGAATTTGTATAAAGATTTGGTGTGGAAAGTGAATAATATTTGTATGTATTTATAGAAAAAAAAATTTAGAATTTTTTGATTTTTTTTTCCACATTTTTTCAATTTTTTTAAACCAAAAAATGGACAGTTGTTGGATTGGATAAGATTTTTGGATCGGAGGCTCTAGGAGAAGCCACATGGCTTGTAGCCATTGGTTTCTGGCAGTTGTGTGTTAGCACAAGAAATTCAAATTTTTTTTACCTTTGGCGTGTGCATTCCACGTGCCAATAGTAACATAAAAATTGAATTTCTTGCGCTGATGTCAGCAGCCCGAAGGCAAGAGAACAGGCCATATCTCCCCATGGGATTGCCTGGGCTCCTGGGACCCACCCCTTACCCAGGCTGGACTTGGTGCACTGGAGCTGCTTCCCAGGCCTAGGGCCCCCTCCTGCCTGGGCTGGCCTCTTGCGCTGGAGATGCTCTTATTACAGAGAAACTCCCGCTTTCTAAGGACCTAAAAAAAAAAGAAGTAAATGAAAGATATGCATCCATGATCATCATTAGCTCTAATGAGTGTTTCTAATACATTTTGGTGATCCTAACATCACATTATTGCTAGTACGTACTCTAGTGCTTCTTCCCAGGTTTCGGCCCATAAACAGCAAAGAAGGCCTGAATTGCAGTGAGTAGTAGGAGTATAACAGCAGCTAAAACAGACAGGAAAGACCATGGAGTACCAAAATACTTGAATCTTAAACCTTCCCATCGCACATGCCACATATTTCTATGGTACTCATTCACGTCCTTGAACAACTTCGATAGATTACCCTCACCAATATTTAAAGGCACATCTTTGCCAAGGTTTTTGAAGAAATGAACAACCTCCTCATCAGTTCCAAGATAATTCTCGACAATTTCTTGTCGCAGAGAAATGATACGTCTTCAGGCGTGCGGATCAGACAACTCATGAATGCAGCGTAACTTGTTACATCCTTTGAGCAATGAGAGTAGCATTGTTCAAATGCTACAAAATTCATCAATAAATCAGTCCGTAGATTGTCGATTACTATGTGTGGAATTTCCAGCATTCCATTGCAAAATCTTATCTCTAAGAAGCTCACTGCCTCCCTGGTCTTGAACTTAATTCCAGCTTGACGAAGCTTTTTGGCTGACTGGATAAATTCAATGGAAGGAGAAGTATTTCCCTTCCTTCCTGCTAAACTTTTGCAAAGGTACTCTTCTTGTTTGTTATGAGACGAGGAAAGCAAAAGTTCGCCCTCCCTTTTGGTATTCTCATATCATAATCTCTGATTTATGAATAAATGTCTATTATGTGTGTTTCCTAATTTCCAAAGGGATATGATGTCCTCTATCTTTTTGTCTGCAATCAAAGCTCATAGCTTAGTCACCATGAGTGGCAGTCTAAGGTTGAAATTGGATAAGCTAGCTATTGAAGAAACTTATGTCCACAGTCCACAACATGCAGAACAATTACCTGCAGATTTCATTTGATGATTTTATAAGTTCTTCTAAATATAGGTGTAGACTTACTCTTGTTCCATATATAATGCTATTCCAATACAATCTATTTTAAAGATGGTCATCTCCATAGTTTTTCATGCTAAATAAAGTCCAATACAATCTTATGTTACTACTTGAAGCTTTCACTTTCTAAAATATGTAATTAGTTTGATGCTGCCACCAGATATATATCCCTTGAACCGTTGATGGAAGCAAGGAGATAACAATAATTTGCATTTTGATTGAGCTCCTGCAGTACATTGAATGACCAACCAGTCCCCACATCCTAAGTTTCTGCCTCAAATCATCAACTTTCTTTGCCTTACTAGCTAGGATGATAGGATCGGGCATCGCTTGATTTTAAAACCCAATTTTAAATCCTTCTGAATATGGCTAGAAGACTTGTTTTCTGAATATGTCTTCTTGTGTCTCTTCTGAATCTTTTTAAAACTTATACTATCTTTTGTAATCACTCGCAACCATCCCACACTCGACTATTGCTATTGGTGAAAACTGTTGTTACCGTTGACTTAATTATCACAGTGGCGTTGGCCCTTGTACGACTGAAATTAACTTAATTTATGCAGCAGTTTCCCCAAGAACAAATAAGAAAAATTAACTGATGTGGAAGCCAAGGATAAGGGCATAAGAAATAAACTAGACTGAGAGCCGCAAAACAAGAGGTCTGCTGAATCAGCCTACCAGCATTAGCAAATCAAATTAAACCATCAACATATGTAAACAGAGAAAATGGTTCCTTGTAATTTCAAAGAAGGTTGAAGGTCAAAATTTATTTTTACCCTTTGTAGGGTTCTGAATTTTTGTGACTCTTATATAGATGAACTACTTAATTGAAAATTTGCATATAGTTTGTTATTGTTGATTAATATTGTACTTCCTCTAGGAACAAGTTACGGCCAGAGCTTTCTTCGATCGAAACCCGAGTTTGTAAGCCATTCTTGATCACATGGATTATTCGTCAAAGCTCGAACTTCCCAAATCAGCACTTGATCAGCCCATCAACAGTTCTAGTACCGATCATGTTGATGATGGTGGTGAATTATTCCTATACCCTTCAATCTTCGAATTCAGCCAACTCTCTGTCACTGATCAAGATGAGAGGACGAAAGAAATCCACAATAGTAGGTGAAGATGTTACAGTGGAGCAACTCCCAGAGGAAACTGAAGACGGTTTCAGACTCAGAACATTTACAGAGCTCTTCAACAAACTCCCCTTCCCTGACCAGGCGCTTTTCCTTTCCACAGTTATATAGAAATTCATGAGCGAAAGGGGATTAGAAGAGCTAATTTTTGTGTTCAAAACTCAACAAGATGTCAATGATCATCAACAACAGATTGGACAAGTACTGGATCATTTTACAGTGGACAATATCCAGCATGCCCCTGGGGAAACAGAGGAGAATTTCATAATCAGAACATTCACAGAGCTGGCTAAGGACCATGATGACCATATTTATACTCATCCAGCTTGGGAAGATATTAAAAGACGCAAAAATACACACAAGGTGCAAACAAAAAAGTGCAAACATCCTAACATTATTGCTACTCTAGTTCGTTCCATAAACAGTAAAGAAAGTCTGAATTGCAGTGAGTAGTAGGAGTATAACAGCAGCTAAAGCAGACAAGAAAGACCATGGAGTACCAAAATACTTGAATCTAAAACCTTCCCATCGCACATGCCACATACTTCTATGGTACTCATTCACGTCCTTGAACAACTTCCATAGATAACCCTCGCCAATATCTAAAGGCACATCTTTGCCAAGGTTTTGGAAGAAATGAACAACCTCTCCATCAGTTCCAAGATAATTCTCGATAATGTTTTTTTCGCAGAGAAACGATACGTCTGCTGGAGTGCGGATCAGGCAACTCATGAATGCAGCATAAGTTGTCACATGCTTTGAGCAATAAGAGTAGCATTGTTCAAATGCTACAAAATTCATCAACAGATCAGTACGAAGATCGTCGATTACTATGTGTGGAATTTCCAGCACTCCATTGCAAAATCTTACGTCTAAGAAGCTCACTGCCTCCCTTGTCTTGAACTTAATTCCAGCTAGACGAAGCTTTTTGGCTGATTGGATACATTCAATCGGTGGAACAGGCTTCTCTTGAGGTGAATGATTAGGGATAAAACTCCAGCGGAGTAAATGGAGTAAATGTTTTGCTTCACCAGCAGCACTGAAATCCTGATCTAACACTTGACCAGGTCTTTGTAATGCATGGTTAAAGAATGTCAAGGCAAGTTCGGCAAGGGATTTGTCACTATCTTCTCTTGAAGCTTTTGATTCATCAAATAAGTCTTGAAGAACGAAGAAAGGAATTTGGTTCTCAAAACGAAAAAGATCTCGTATGATATTAGCGAATATGAATTTCAATTTAAAGATGGGGTCGTACTCGTATTCATGACCTAGTGACAATCCTCCAAGTCTGCAAAAGAGCTCAATAGTGAAGAGACCATCCAACACCATCATCTGAACTAGATCATAACTGCTTAAGCTGAGGGTCTCCGAATAGCACCCTCTTATATCTGCTTCCTTTGCTGCCACCACTTGCCGATAGTAATCAAATGTTGGGCCGTTTGGAGGTGTTCGAGCAAGCAGTTCTTCAACGATTCGCCATTTGTGTTGCTGTATCATCTCCAAATGTTGATCACCGCAGTGATAAGGACCACTGGAGACAATATGGGGCTGGTAAGTCTTGTTGTTTATTTCCGCAAGGCATTGACGTACCTTGAAGATGCAACAAGATTCTTTTCCTGCTGATGGATGCAGAAGCCATTGTGTCGCTGCTGCAATTGTGAGAACAGGATCTCTTCCTCCATTAGCTGTTGGTGAGGTTGATTGTGAGTTCATTTTTGTAGCTCTAAAGAAGAGAGGATTATTTTAGCTAATGAAGTTGAATGAAAAATAGATGAAGTTAAATGAAATCTGCCACTAAAGAATTTACTTTCGAGACGAAGAGACAGGACAAACCCTGGTGGACCATTCCGTCTTCTTTTCCATCATACACGTACTCCGTCCGTACATTGACGTGACCTGAGCCATCCAATAACAGTTTCCGTCACTACTACAATATCTGGCTATGGGTACTAATATTATTTTTTATAGAGAAGCGATTTCAATTGAAGAGAAAAAACAAGCCACAAAAGGTCCTCGATTAACACATCCTGAATGAGTCCAGGAGCATCCCAAACCCAAGAGGAAGTATTAGCTTCTCTAGTGACAAAACAAATAGAAACGACAGACAACTCCTTAATCAACGACAATCATCAATCAGCATACCCACATGGGCGTGATCATCCCTGCGTACTAATATTATTTGTACTCTTTAGTGCAGAGAGCACAATTATATTAACAGTCACATGGCAATCATAATAAATTGACCGCTTTTCTCTACAGGAATTTCCGTTGTTTACTTCCGCAAGGCATTGACGTACCTTGAAGATGCAACAAGATTCTTTTCCTGCTGATGGACGCAGAAGCCATTGTGTCGCCGCTGCTGTAGGTGAGCTTGATTGTGAGTTCATAGATCAGCTTCACGTGACTCTGCCTGAGCCATCCAATAACAGTTCCCGTCACTACTACAATATCTAGCTATGGGTACTAATATGATTTGTGCTCTTTAGTGCCAAGGGCGCAATTATTTGTGCTCTTTCTTTAGAGCAAGCCCACCCTTGAAGGCTAAGGTAAGGCAAGGGCTGCCACTATTCACGTGAATAGTGGCAGCCTTGCCTTTTTTGGTTCCATCCCAAAAGGCTAGGGCTAGGGCAAGGGCAAGAAAGAAAAAAAAAGATTATGCAACAAAATATAAACAATTTATAAAGTGAATAAAATTGTTATGTATTTATAGGAAAAACATCTATAATTTTTTGGTATTTTTTATAAAAAAAAATTGAATTTTTTCGATCTTTTTTTTTTTTTTGTGCTCACTGACGTTAGCGCCTTCGGGCTTGAGCCCAGGCAGGATTTGCCCGTGGGCTTTCCCAGGTTAGTGGGTCCCATGCCTTGCCCAGGCTTGAGGCTGCGCGCTGGAGGGCCTAACCTTGGCTTGGGAGGCCTGTTGCCCGAGTTTGTGTAGAGCGCTGGACTTGCTCTTAGTGCAAAAGACGCAATTATTTGTGCTTTATATTAATAGTCACATGGAATCACAATAAATTGGTCGGTTTCCTCTTATAGGAATTTCAATTGCTCATCAAGCACAATTTTACTTTTTCGTGTCCTTTGCTTAATACTCTTGAGCATGAAAGTATCAGATATGATTTCACTTTTATACATGCACACGGATTATTCATTTGTGTCCAAAGTATGTTTTAATGAAAAAAAAAAAATTGATATGTAAATAAAGAAAATGGTTCCTTGTAATTTCAAAGAAGGTTGAAGGCCAAGTTTTCTTTTTATCCTTAGGGTTCTGAATTTTTGCGAGCTTGCAGTCCTTAAACTCTTTATAAATACAATACAAAGTAGTTTATAATTAGGAAAACAGAAGAAAGAAACGAGAAGAGTTAGAATTACCCAGTCAAACTAAATAATCAGGATTAAGTTAAGTGACACGAGACCTAATACCAATATCATCAGGATTAAGTCAAGTCACGCAGGCATGGTTGAATGAATCCATGATATAAGCTTTTCACCTACATTCAGAACGACTTAAAATTATAAAATTAAGCAATGCCTATTGAATTTAGAGCACTTCCACCCCAAAGGGCAAGGGTAAGGCAAAGGTAAGGTTTGTCACTATTCACACGAGTATGAAAGCCCTTGCCTTTTTTGTTTCCACCCCTAAGGGCAAGGGCAAGAGCAATTACTATTCAATTTAATTTATTTTCTATTTTTTATAATTACCATTAATTTTGAAAAGATTTTTGGTTGCCACATGTCACTATTTATTATAAAATTCTCATCTCAAATTACAAATAAAATTTTGGGACAAAATTTTCGGATAAGATTTTCGGTTGCCACGTGTCCATATTTATCATAAAATTCACATCTCAAATTTCAGATAAAATTTTTAGGTAAGATTTTCAGTTGCCATGTGTCCATATTTATTATAAAATTCACATCTCACTCATCATACAACTGAAATACCTACTCACTCATCATACAACTGAAATACTCCCGGTCCTCATAGTCCGACACAATCGAGTACAAGGACGACTCAATCATTGGCGGAGGCAGTTCCACCGGATCACGACTTGGGGGAGTATTTTCCTTCCGAGGATGTAATAGTGCCATTATTTCCAACACAGAACGCACCACTGGAACTGACTACGGGCATTGTTCACTTGACGAGCCATGTGTAATGGTTTTCCTTTTTTTTTGTTTTGCCTTGAATAATCTATTAAATAAATGAAATTGGAAATGCAAGAAATATAAATAAATAAAAATATATTAAATCGAATACAATGGCTTTTTTTTTTTACCTCATCGCCAAGATTTTGAGCGCTTTGAATGTTTGTCCACGACCCTCCGGCTTCGATGGAAGAGGAATAGAATTTTGTAGTAGAAAATTTGGTGTGGAAAGTGAAAAATATTGGAAGAAGATTTGGTGTGGAAAGTGAATAATATTGGTAGGTATTTATAGAAAAAAAAAATTAGAATTTCTTGATCTTTTTTACAAATTTTTTCGAATTTTTTAAACCAAAAAATGGATAGTTGTTGGTGTTGCGTCCATTCAGCTGCACCAAAATGGATTCAGCTGCATCCTTAACTTGTGATACTCGCAAGTGCACGAGCCGTTCGGTAGTATAGCATATGTAAGTGCGAGGTCGATTCCACAGGGATTGGTGATTGAATAATCCAATTCAGTTTTCCTACACAAAACATAAAAACAAGAAAGAAAATAAATAAAACAAGAAAGAAAGAAAATAAAATAACTCAAGCAGATAAGTTCCCAAGTTCAATTAGATTAACGGATTGATTCTAGCTAAAGTATGATTAAGCCATGGTGT